AGGTGCCCGCTTCTCACCGTTTGACAGGGCAGAGACCGAGGCTGGGACCTGGGTCCCTGGGGGGGGGGCACCTGTGTCACCTCCACAGGGGCAGCAGCGCTAGGGGCTGGAGTGGAGCTGAGTCATCCCAGCAGTGTCCAGGGGCCATCGGGCATGCAGGGCAGGGTTGGCCAGGTCCCCTCCCGGGCCTCCAGCCCCCTGTCCCACAGCAGCCGGCTCCTCACAGCCCCCAGCTGGAGTGGGCCACACCAGCACAGCCCCAGCCACCTGGAGAGCACCTGCAGCCGTACCAGGTCGCCCAGGGCTGGGCCTCACGGGCCATCCCCGGGGCCCCACCCCGCCCTCCCTGCTCTCCCATCCTGCCCCGTGCTGCCACTTGGAGCACACACAGGAATTCAGCAGGGGCTCACCCCGGGCAAGGCCGGGAGTGGGAGGCGGCTGCCCAGACATCTGGAAAACATCACCCGCCTCTCGCCTGGGGAGCAGGAGATAAGGAGCCGCCCCTCCCCGCCGTGCCCGGAGCCCAGGGGCCTGTGACTTTCAGTGGTGACGCCCCAGGGTAGCAGGTGCTGTGCCGCCCACTCTGGGTGTGAGCCTGCTCCCTGGGAGGCCCTGCACGCCCGGGTTTCTCTCCCAGGTTCAGAGCTGCTGAGTCGGCTCTGGCAGGGACCAGGGATGGAAACTCAGAGCTGTCGCCTATCTGTGGGTCAAGTTCTTGAAAATTTTAGGTTTGATCCTAAGAGCAGCAGAGACCAATCCACGGCTCTGATCCAGGAAGCCGGGACTGGAGAGCTGCTGGGCACAAGGCCAAGTGGGGTGCCGGCTGGGCAGAGCCCGGGGCGGAGGGGTACAAAGGAGGGGAGTGTTTCTGGGGAGGCCCCAGCCGCTGTCCCTGGAAGCACCCTTGGGCGACCATGCCTGATTGCCCCAGAGCAGGGACGGAACCGCCAGGCCCTCAGGGGTCTCCTGCCCACGTTGTCCTCGATTTCCTGGGTTCCAGGAAGGCTCCTGGGGGACAGTGGGCAAGCCCCAACCACTTGTGTCCACTCTGCAGCTCTGACCGGCCCTTCCGGGGGAGCCTGACCCATGCCCAGTAGGAGGAGGCCCTGGGCCAGCGTTGACCGTCCAGGCTCAGGACTGGCAGCAGGAGGATCCCATCCCAGGAACTACAGGACAGCAGGGAGATGAACCCCTGGGATGGCCACAGTCCCAGAGCAGAGCAGCACAGGCCTGCCCGGGGCACGCTGAGCAGTGCCCAGCATGAGGGTCCTGTCTCAGGGTCCCGGGGGGGGGGCGCGGGGCGGGAGGGTAGGGAGATGCCTGAGATAGAGGGCGGGGGTCCCGTGTGACATTGACCCTGGGCAGTTGCATTTCACTGGGCTGTGGGTGACACGCCCTTGCTGCCTCTCAACACAGGTGATGGGACCACAGGCTGAGCTAGGAGGACCGTGCCCTGCCCAGGGTGGGGAGGGGCAGGAGAACCGCACCCCCTCACCAGGCTTTTCTCTGTGGGCAGGCGGTGCCTAGGAAGGACAGGGCCAGGGAAGTGGGGGAGGCCTGGGCTCTGGGTGCCCAGACGGGAGAGCTGACTGGGCCTGGGGCCAGGCTGGAAGGCCAGGGGCTCCCTCCTCAGGACTGACCGTACCCCTGGCCTCTGCAGGGAATGTGGGGAGCCCTTTGTCCTGGCAGCTCCTCACTGGGGGACCCTGGAACAGGGACCCAGCCCCAGGGGAGCTGTAGACATGCAGGGGTGCACCCCTGCAGCCCGGCTGCCCGTAATATGTGTAAGAAATCTTCTAGAAGCTACTTCGCAGCCCCCAAAAGCGAGCCCCTGGGCCACCTCGCAGGGAGGCCCTCAATTCCAGCTTTATCAAGGAACAGGTGATTTCACACAAAATTATGTGTCGGACTTCCAGGTCCCAAATTCCATCCCTCAACCGAAGGCCAGACGTGCCCATTAATGATTAAACCTCGGAGCGGTGAGAGGGACGCTGACTGGTGCCCCCCCTCCATTCCTGCCGGGACCCAGCTGCCCAACCCTACCCAACGAGAGCTAGTTCCTGCCAGCCAGGGGAGGGGCGGCACTGCTCCCAGGGAAAGCCAAATATTGTCTCCTTCCAGCAAACAGGCTGCCCATTGTAGCCGCAGCCCGGCCCAGGTTGCCCAGGGAGGTGGGAGCGGGGTGGGGGTGGGGCCTGCCGCCGTCAGCACGGGGAGAAAGGGCTTCAGGCTTGGGCAGGAGCGGGCACCGCGAGGGAGAACCGTATTTGTTTTTTGGTTTTGTTTTAAATATATATGTATTCATTTGTTTATTTAGGAAGTCAGAGTTAGAGAGAAGGCGAGACAGAGAGAGAGAGAGAGAGAGAGAGAGAGAGAGGTCTTCCATCTGCTGGCTCACTCCCCAGATGGCTGCAACAGCTAAGGCTGGGCCAAGCCAAAGTCAGGAGCCAGGAGCTTCATCCGGGTCTCCCATCTGGGTAAGACAACAGACTCTGGGGCCCAAGCACTTGGGCCATCTTCCACTGCTTTCTCAGGCCATTCCCAGGGAGCTGGATCGGAAGAGGAGCAGCAGGGCTTGGACCAGTGCCTGTATGGGATGCCAGCACCACAGGTGGAGGCTTTCCCTGCTGTGCCCCATGCCGGGTGCCGGGTACCGGGTACCGGGCAGGAGTGCAGGGATCTGCATCCCAGGAGGCCTCTCACCTCAGCGTCTGTAAGACGGGGGCGGGTCAGCCGGAGGCTTCCTGAGCCAGGTAGAACTCCTAACACCAGAGCTTGGCACCCGCTCAGGGCTCCAGGCAGGCCACGTCCGTCCCAAGACCCCTGTGTGTGTGTGTGTGTGTGTGTGTGTGTGTTGGCAGGATGCTGGATGATGTCTGTGCTCAGCATTTGGGGTTGACCAGACAGAGAACAGGAAGCAGAAGAGAGGTGGGAGGGTCCCCAGAGGGGTCAGGGGTCAGTGTGAAAGTGTGTGTTTTTGTAGCTAATGTGACTTCACATCCCATAAAAGGTCGTGCTCCAACGCCCACAGCTGGCCGGGTTCCAGGGTCCTCACGCGATGCCAGGGGCTCTGCCGCCGGCCCCGCCCCCAGGACCCCGCTCTGTCCGCTGGCACCCGGCCCCTCCTCCTGGTTCATGGGGTGAACCTGCAGACAGGAGATTTCTGTCTGTCTGTCTGTCCCCCTCTCTGAAAAGATTTGAAGCTGGTCTGGTGTGGCCGACTCTGCACCTTCTGTCCTGTGAGTCGATCATGGCAGAGAGCTGGCGCGCGGGAGACTGGAGCAGGCCGGGGCAGAGGCAGAGCTGGGGGACCCTGGGGGGAAGGGAGCGGGATCGTTTTGCATCACAACTGCTGTTCCAAGTGGATTGTGTGCTGCCTTCATTAAAAAGACTTTGTTAAAAAGAAAATATGTGGAGCCCCTGTCCATCCCAGCACAGAACATCAGATTCAACCAGCGGGAGCGCAGCGAGAGGGGCCTGCGCCAGCGTCGCCTGGGCTCCCGCCGTCGCTGCCTCCGGCCACTCCTGCCGTCAGCTCTGGGTTTGCCTCGGGAGCCACCGGGGCTCGGGGCGGGGGAATCTTGCCTACTCTCAGGGAACAGCGCTCCCAAACCTCAAGGCAGCTTTCCGGCTTCCCCTCTCAGCTGCTTTATGGACAGCCTCTCTGACCCCTCTGTCCAGGGCCCCCGAACACCCTGAGCATGCAGGGAGGGTGGCCCCTGGCCACTGCTAGGAACATGGGATCCATCCATCCATCCTCCCATCCATCCCTCCCTCCATCCCATTGTCCCTCCCTCCCTCCCTCCATCCCATTGTCCCTCCCTCCCTCCCTCCATCCCATTGTCCCTCCCTCCCTCCCTCCATCCCATTGTCCATCCCTCCCTCCCTCCATCCCTCCCTCCCTCACATTGTCCATCCCTCTCTCCCTCCATCCCTCCCTCCATCCCATTGTCCATCCCTCCCTCCCTCCATCCCATTGTCCCTCCCTCCCTCCCTCCATCCCTCCATCCCATTGTCCATCCCATTGTCCATCCCATTGTCCATCCCATTGTCCATCCCTCCCTCCATCCCATTGTCCATCCCTCCCTCCATCCCATTGTCCATCCCTCCCTCCCTCCCTCCCTCCCTCCCATTGTCCCTCCCTCCTTCCATCCATCCATGTCCCTGCATGGGCATCCGCTCACCCCACTGTCCATGCACCCGCACACCCGTCCGCTCACCCCACTGTCCACGCACCCGCACACCCGTCTGCTCACCCCACTGTCCACGCACCCGCACACCCGTCTGCTCACCCCACTGTCCTTCCATCCAACTCTTGCTGGCGCCTGCTGGAGTCAGCCCCATGGGCCCTGCCCTGTCGGCCCCAGTGACCTCGAGGGAGGAGAGGCGCTGGAGCGGGGGTCAGTCCCGGGCACGTGGGGGCAGCAAGACGGGCACTGTGCTTGGGCGGCCAGTGAGGAAGGCACTTGAGTAAATGGTCTGGGAGCCTGGACGAGCAGGGCGGTGGACAGGGCCAAGCCGGGTCAGAGTGGGGACAGTGGTGCCACCGGCAGTGACAGTTCTGTCCCCAGGCTCTTCCGGCAGACACTCCCTCCTCCAGGACAGGATCTGCAGGAAGGAAGTCTTCAGAGCCCTGACCGGTTAGCGCCAGGCCTGCTCCTGCAGCCAGGAATTCCAGCCAGGAATTGGGCCCTGGGCCTGTTTACCTCCCTGACTTCCCTGCAACCCCACTGAGAAGTGGCGGGGGAGGGGTGGGTTTGACCGGGTCCCTGTCAGGCACGGTGGAGGCCCTGTGGATCAAGACAGGGCGCAGAGAACGCAGTGGGGAGAGGAGGCCCCTCCTGCAGCGGCTCGGGAGCACAGGGGCGCCCACAGCACGCAGGACCGCGGGCCCATCCTGGACGGTGCTCAGAGCCCGCTGCCACACTGCCTTCCTGCCGTAAGCAGCACCAAGGCCTGCTGGCCAGGGACCTGAACTTGCAGACCACCAGTGACCCAGCTGTGGTTCCGGTTTCTTTATTTTTTTTAAAAGATTTATTTTATTTATTTCAAAGACAGAGTTACAGAGAGAAATAGAGACAGAGAGAGAGGTCTTCTATCCACTGGTTCACTCCCCAGTTGGCCTCAACGGCCTGAGCTGCCTCGATCCGAAGCCAGGAGCCAGGAGCTTCTGCCGGGTCTCCCAGGTGGGTGCAGGGGCCCAAGCACTTGGGCCATCTTCTACTGCTTTCCCAGGCCACAGCAGAGAGCTGGATGGGAAGAGGAGCAGCCGGGACTAGAACCGGCGCCCACATGGGATGCCAGCACTTCAGGCCAGGGCTTTAACCCATTGCACCACAGCGCTGCCCCCCACCCCACCCCAGCTGTGGTTCTAGAAACGTCCTTTCCCCCTTAACAAAATTCAGGACCTCCTAGGTATGGTTTGTGGAAGGAACAATGAAGACAGTGGCCCTTCCCCACTGCAGGCCCAACCAGCCAGGGAGAGAGGCCCCCGCCCAGCTGTCCAGCCCCCCACTGTGGGCAGAGCGCATCCCGGGTCTGGAGAGGAAGAGACCTAGCAGTGACCCTCAGCAATGGCCAGCACACTAGCGGGGGCCTGGCCTGGGGGGTTGCTCACCACATGTCCATCTGCCAGGTTGAAGGTCGCAAGCTGGGTCCAGGGAGAGGAGGGACTGGGGCTGGGGAGCAAGGGGGCTGGGCCCAGGGCAGGCAGCCGCAGGGTAAGGGGGCTGGGTGAGGCAGAGGCCAGGAGGGGCTGAAGGAAGCCTGGGCCCTTGACGTCCACTCCACTGTTGTCACCAAGCCTGGGACATGGGCGGGGCAGCCCCGGGCTGGGGCAGGGCTGCTGCAGGACGGAAGCCGCCAGCAGGAAGGAGCTGTGGCTCGCAGGACACGCCGGCCGGCTCAGGCTGGGTGCTCAGGGCTGCTGCCTGCCGGCAGGCTCTCCCTGCTGGAACTTCCCAGTCCCTGGGCAGGGCCCTGCAGGCTGGACCCTGGCCAGAGAACAGCAGGAAAGCGTTCAGGAATGAAGAGGGCAGCACCTGCCCACCCCCTCCCCCCGGGGCCCTTTGTCCCCAGAAAGTGGTGGGGGAGGGGAGGGGCCTTCCCCAGGAGGAGCTGGGACGGCTGCGGGCCTGTGACAAGGACAGCATCGCCGCGTCGGCCACACTGAACTGCACACACCTGGGGCCCCCGGCTCGGTGAGCAGCTGTCCAGGAGGCCAGGCCCAGGACCCAACGAGCAGGCGCTCAGAGCCAGCGACAGGCTTGGGCTGGGTGTGCTGGGATGTGCAGCTGCAAGGCCGTGGACAAAGGGCAGAGACCACAGGCAGAGGGGAGCCGAGGCTGGGACCCAGCAAGGCTGCACCCCAGAGGGGTCCACACGGGCGCAGGTGGACAGGGACCAAGAAGTGAGTCAGGGGGGACGGGCAGTGAGAGGGCTCTGAGCTGAACCTCAGGGCAGGGACCCTGCTGGTCAAGCCCCTCTGACCTCAGGTCTGACTCAATCCTGTTCGGGGCCCATGCAGCAAGGAGACAGCTGGGGACAGGGTCCTGCTGCCCCAGAGCCCCTCTGTGGGAGCAGCACCCCGCCCCCATGCCTGCTGCCCTCACAGACACCCGAGCTGTGGTCAGGGCAGGCTGCAGGACACAGCGTGACCTCAGGATGTCCCACACACCGGCCTGAAACTGGCCTGTACCTGCAGCTCTGGGAGCCTGCCGGAACCCAGCTCCCCACCTGAGATCCAAGCAAGGCAGAGTTCAGGTCGCTCGCCTGGCCGGCCGCTCCCGACGCTGCCCCACTTTGCAGCGTCCTCGGGCCAGCCCTGACCCGCCCGCACCACAGCCTTCCCGTCTGTAAGACGAGAGGGACCAGAAGGCTCTGGGCTCCCTGCTCACCCCTCCCGGCACACCTGTGGGTGCCTGGCCCTTGCACAGTGGCGGGGTCCCCCACAGGGGCAGTGCAGACAGACGGGCCGACAGGCACGGAAGTGGGCGGTGGCACCCGTGACTGCTGGGACAGGACGGGTGGGCAGGAGCTCGGGGGGGGACGCCGGAGCTGGTGGTAAGGGCCATCCCTCCTTCCACCCCGGGCACCGGCTCTTGCCCACAGGTCAAGTGCCAGGGGTGGCAGCTACCAGTGAGCGTCCGCCGGTGTGAAGCTGTGACTTCTGGCGCACGCACCTGGGCTTTGCGGTGAGCCTCGTTCTCTCCAGTGAGGGCCAGTGCGCCAGCATGGTGTAACTCCCTGTCCTGTGAGAAGCCAGGCAGGGAGGGGTGTCCTGGGCAGCCAGGAGCCAGGGGGTGGCCCCAGGAGGGGGAACCCGGGACCAGGCCACTCTGTTTCTCCAGCCCTGAGTCCCGGAACAAGGAGACCTGGGCCCAGGCTGGGGAGGCCATGCAGCGCAGCCGGGGTGGGGCAGGGACCGCGCCTGGAACAGAGGCTGTGGGATCGAAGGCATCCCGGCTGAAGCTGTAGCAGGTGCAGAGGCGGGGTGGGGCTCAGGACGGCAAGCTGGAGGTGGAACGGAAAGGTGAGGGTCTCAGTAGCCGGGAAGGAGCGGAACACAGGGCCCCTGCAGACCTGGGCCTCCTTGGGACCACGCAGGACTCGAGCCTGCCCGAGTTCTGGAGCAGGTGCCAGGGCCTGGGGCACGTCGCTGCCTCCGGGACACATACTCCACTCCGCTTGCCCACAGCTGCAGCCCTCCTGCAGGGAGCACTGCACATGGAAGTGGCCAGTGCGGGGGGGCGGGACCCTGTTCCTGTCCTGCACATGGAAGTGGCCAGTGCGGGGGGCGGGACCCTGTTCCTGTCCTGCACATGGAAGTGACCAGTGGGGGGGCCGGGACCCTGCTCCTGTCCTGCACATGGAAGTGGCGAGTGGGGGGGCTGGACCCTGTTCCTGTCCTGCACATGGAAGTGCCCAGTGAGGGGGGCCTGGATCCTGCTCTAGCAGGACTGTAGGAGCCAGGCAGCCCAGCAGGCCCTGTGCCCCTGCTCAGGGGCGGGGCCAGGAAGTCAACTCCCCGGGCCACAGGCCTGCCTCCTGCCTGGCACTGCCTGGCGCCACTCTGCAGGCCTGGACACTGCTGCCCACGGGGCAGGAAGCACCTGGAACAGGCTGCAGGGCCTCCCGGCCCAGCCCTGCCCGTGTGATCTCGGGAGTCCAAGTGCTCTCTCCCCAGAGGCAGATGGCACGTGGCGAACCCACTGAGGAAGGCAAGGTTGGCCTGATGCCAGGAGCCAGGGTTCCCTGGGGGGTGCGCGACCCCCAAGGGGGCCACCAGGCGGCCAAGGTGCCGGGGAAGGCTGCAGCAGGAGGCAGCTGGGCAGCAATGCCGGCTGCAGCCCCTCTCCATGTCCCTCCCACGGGGCGGGGGGCTCCTGCCCACCACCCACAGCTTCAGTGCCGGTTCTTCATCCCGGCAGAGCAGGTGTGGGGCTCTGGCCCAGCCCCCTCAGCCTGGAACCGCCACCTGTCGTTCGCTGGGTGGTCACCTGCGCCATCCTGTGACACTGGCCAGCGTGTCCGCAGAGTCTTCTGCAGCCCTGCCCCTCTTCCACAGCACCCCCCCCGAATTCCCCCTCCGGGGATGAGGGAGGCGAGCGTGGCTCTGAGAGCCTCCAGCAGAGAAGCCGGTTCCAAGTTCCCGTCAACAGCACTTGGCAGGCAGCTCAGCCCCGCCCCGAGGCCTCATTAGGCAAAACACAGCACCTCGGCGCGCAGCGGGAGGCTTGCCGGGGCTGGCGCTCCCGGCAGATCAGAGCAGCCGCCCAGCCGGCCCACGTGCGCTGTCACAGCCACACGGCGCTGTGGTCACAGACCCAGGGTTCGGGCCCTCGCCCGGCCTGTAGCAGCGCCACCTCTCTGTCCACACACAAAAGGGAGGTGGGGGTCTTCCTCTGGGGTCGTGAGGAGCGCCCAGGAGGTGCCTGGCTCACAGCTGGGCTAGGCAGGGGCAGGGCTGCTGACCCCAGGCCGAGTGGGCAGGGGTGCGGCTGCAGCTCCCGGAACTCTGCCCTGGGAGTCCAGAGCCATGGCGGCTGGAAGGAAGCAGGGCACTGCTTGATTCTCTTTTAATTTTGCTTTATTTACTTGAGAGGCAGAGAGACAAAGAGTGCCTCTCCGCTGGTTCACTACGCAGCTGCACACAGCGGCTGGGGCTGGGCCAGGAGCTCCATCCCCGTGTCCCACAGGGCGGGCAGAGACCTAAGTACTTGAACCACGCATCCGCGTAGGGGCCCCAGAGGAAGCTCCTGGCTTCCAATCAGCCGAGCTCCTGCTGTTGCGACCATTTGGGGAGTGAACCAGCAGATGGAAGAACAGTCTGTCTCTCCCTCGTCTGTAACTCTCTCTCTCTCAAATAAATCCATAAATCTTTAATAAGCAAGTAAATATAAAGAAATGCTCACGTCCTGTAGCAGAGCACCTGGGTTCAAAACCACCCCTGGCTCCTGACTCTGGCTTCCTGCTACAGCCTGGGAGGCGGTGGGACGGCTCAGGCGACTGGGTTCTCACCTCCCAGCAGAGACCTGGATGGAGTTCCGGGCTCCCAGCCCCAGCAGGTGTAGGCTTTGGAAGAGCGAAGCAGTGCTTGCCGTCTCCCCAGGCCGAGTGGTGGACAGGATTTTCCGCCTGCCTTTTTCAAAGCCTTGCTCTACTGCTGAGACCTCTCAGGGTCGGGAAGCCTGCCCGCGCAGCCTGCCCGCGCAGGGAAGCTGTGCACTGAGCAGCCTGGCTTCCCTCCTGCCAGCCAGTCACCTGCAGGCTGCCTTGCAGGGGTAAAACCGCTACAGCAAACCGGCCCGAGCGCAGAGCGCATCCAAAACGACCCGCCAGGACCCGGACGCGGGGTGGGGTCTGCACGTAACTGTTGGGAGCAGGGAAAACGGACGCGTTGGCATCAGACGAGGCGGCTGCGTCCTCTCCTGCCCGCAGGAGCCGACCCATCGCATCTTGAGTCGCAAGTCGAGAAATATAGGGCAACCACAGATTTATGCAAAACAATTCAATAAAGCCCCGAAAGAACTAAAGTGTGTGATTCAGGGGCGGGCCTTGGTCTGCTCTTTCTTCCTTTTTGAAGACTGATCGATTGATTTGGAGGACAGAGGAACAGAAAGAGAGGGAAAGGGAGAGAAAAAGAAACTTTTTTTTTTCCCCAAAGAAACCTTTTACTTAATGGGTACAAATTCCACAAGTACAACTTTAGGGATACAGTGATCCTTCCCTCATACCCACCCTGCCACCCCCACTGCCACCCCTCCTGCTCCCTCTCCCATTCCATTCCATTTTCCATTAAGATTCTTTTTCAATTAACTTCATACACAGAAGACCAACTCTACACTAAGTGAAGATTTCAACAATCCACACACACACACACACACACACACACACACTGAGAACTGGTTTTACAGTTAACTCTCATAATACAACTTATTGAGGACACAGGTCCTGCATGGGGAGTTAGTGCACGGTGACTTCTGTTGTTAACTTAACAAGTAACACTCTTGCGTATGACGTCAGTGACCACCTGAGATTCTTGACATGAGCTGCTTGGGCTATGGAAGCCTTTTGAGTCCACAAACTGTCAGTATTTGGACAAGGCCATAAGCAAAGTGGAAGTTCTCTCCTCCCTTCAGAGAAAAGTGCCTCCTTTGATGGCCCCTCTTTCCACTGGGGTCTCTCACAGAGATCCTTCGTGTGGGAGAGAAATCTCATCCATTGGCTCACTCCCCACGTGGCTACGATGGCCAAGGCTGGGCCAGATTCAAGCCAGGAGCCTGGAGCTCCATCTGGGTCTCCCACGTAGGTCCCACGTGGGAGCAGCAGCCCCGGTTCTTGGGCGTCTTCTCGTCCTCTGCGGCCATCCCAGGAGGCCGAGCGGAGCTGGGACTCAAATCCAGGCCACACGCCCGCCCAGTGTTCTCCAGCTCAGCCCTCCGAGGCCTTGACTGTCC